TCATGGTATTGCTTGGGCCCTTGGTGGCATGATCTTTGTCCTTGTTTATTGCACTGCTGGCATCTCTGGTGGGTTTTATCTCGATCTTAAACAAATATCCTCTCTTTCTCTAACCCATTAATTATTTTCAAGAATTAAGTAAAACCTATTTAGTGAGTCAATTTTTGGTCTAATTAAAACATCACGCGCTGATGCAGTGTTGTCCACCTAAAGTTGTCCACATAATGTTATCATTAGATGGATTAGTCATACCACGTCACTTACACACAAAAAAAATTATTTGAATCTCTAACATCATTGACATCCTAACGTGGTGCGCCTAGTCCACTCAAAATTGTAAGTTCATGTAGTTGGTCTAAGTAGTGAGAAATGATAGAATAATGAAATATAATTAAGGGTTGAATGAATAAGTAGCACCTGTCACACACTAAGTTATAATCTAAATGAATTAGTAACATCAGCTCGGTTACTCACCAAAACATATTTGAGTTAGCATCCAACTTATGGTTTACTAATATGTGCATTTTTTGAATGCAGGGGGGCATATAAACCCTGCAGTCACATTTGGGCTGTTTTTGACAAGGAAGGTGTCACTGATGAGAGCCATATTGTACATGGTGGCTCAGTCGTTGGGAGCCATATGTGGTGTTGGGCTTGTTAAAGCTTTCCAAAGTGCTTACTATACCAAGTATGGTGGTGGAGCCAATAAGCTTGTCGATGGCTACAGCACAGGCACTGGGTTGGGTGCTGAGATTGTTGGCACCTTTGTTCTTGTCTACACTGTCTTGTCTGCCACTGATCCGGAGCTAAAAGCAAGAAATTCCTATGTCCCAGTAAGTATAAATTAATTTTCCAATTAGTTTCAAGAAATTGATTTTAATTTTAATTACTGAACTCTAATGATTTGTTTATGTTGATTAATTAAAGGTATTGGCACCACTGCCAATTGGGCTTTGCTGTGTTTGTTGTGCACCTTGCCACAATCCCAATCACTGGCACTGGTATCAACCCAGCTAGAAGTTTTGGAGCTGCAGTGATCTACAACAATGACAAGGTTTGGAATGACCAAGTATGCACTTTGACCTTGCTCTCTTAGTTACTAACTTTTAGTTGATAACAAACACAAAATGAGACACTAAACAGATAATCAACCGATATATGTAACGCAATGTAATACCCTTTATTGTCGCCTACATTTTTTTATTTAATTTTATTTTGATCAAAAAGTTTATAATCAATTATATGTCTACGTATTTTTCGAATTATTTTACTTATGTTTGTTGTTTAATTATTCAGTGGATCTTCTGGGTTGGACCATTCATTGGAGCCGCCATTGCTGCCTTGCATTACCAATACATCTTGAGAGCAGGAGCTGTTAAACTCTGAGTTCTCTCATGAGCTCCCCCAACAGATGAATTCTAAGAGACTTATTGTGTTTTCTCAATAGTCTGAGAAACTTTAGATTATTCTGGAAGCATGGAATTTGTATATTACTACTATTTGTATTGGTGTTGAGGATGTCAATTGTGTTAGCTTCCTCTGTCTGCGTGCACAATGTTGCATTCTGCTATGTTGGTTATTGTGTCATCAACATGTTTAATTAGTGATGAATTTAAAAAATATGGATTGGGTCACCAAATTGGCATTTCAATAGCAAAATTTTAATAGTACAACACAGACGTCTACTAAAAAAAAACGTAGCATCAAATCAAGCAACAAAAACAATGAGCCCAAAAAGATAAAATGAAAACAAAGAAAAGGTGCCCAAACAACCACAAAACTTACATCACTAAACCAAGTACGATTTTTTACGCAAGTCCACAAACTCAAAATAATCAACGTCTTAAAATAACCTAATCGGCCCAAATAAGCACTACCGTTAATACCTGAAGCACCGTCGTCAAGCCACCGCATCGTGCCGAGAAGAGACTGTTGGAATTTATGCTATTTCCTTGTGTTGTACTGCTTTCATATGTAGCTTTCTGGGTATGTAAATAATTTGTGCCTTTCCTCACATATCGTTTTCAAGTTCACTTTCCTGGAAATTTCTTTCATTGGTTAATGCCATGGTTAATGTCATGCCCTAATTAGATTTAAATCTGCATTAACTGCTCAAATTAAGCATTAAAGTTTGGACAAGAATATTTCAATGCAACCCTTTCACCATTACACACATAATAAAGGTTGTCACATTCACTTCCTCTCCACTTTTAAATGGAGGTCTTAAATTCGACACTTGTTCGATATCAAATTATTACGACATACGATTATGTACTTAGTTTAATCCCCCACCAATTAATGTAAATATATTGTTGTATTATAAAAAATTGTCACATTCACTTAATTACTATATACCAAAGAATCACAATCACACACAAATTAAAAAAAAAAATTAAATAAATAAATAAATTTCCCACCAATTAATACATTTATCAATGGCAACTAAAATCTCTTCTTTGATCACCTCTCTCTCTCTATATATGTATTATAAACCCTTGTCCAAAATCTTCACAGTCCAGCAGCAGACTTTCAACATTCTCTAAAACCCTAATCTCCAAAACCATGGCAATATCTGAGTTCTCCAAAATATGCATGATCTGCATAGTCACATTGCTCTCTGTGGCAATGGCTTCACAACAATCCCCACAACCCTCATTCAGGATTGACACCATCCCTGCAGATGATGAGCTGATTTCCCTGGCTGCTGCTTCGTCTCCATCACAATCTCCTTATGCCGAAAATCTGGCTCCCGAAACTGGAGGCTATTTGGCCCCTTCAACAGATTCAGATCAATACAGTACTCCACCGCAACCATCACAACCTTACATTGACACATTTGCCCCTGAAGCTCAAGAGCTTCTCTCTCCAGACTACTCTCCTTTCCCTGCTCCTACTTACTTCCAAGATTACCCTTCTCCTCCTCCTTACATTGAAGCTCAGGCTCCTGAAAGTTACTATGATTCTTACAGTCCCATTCAAGGTCGAAGTCCAGCACCATCTTCCGAACGGGGATCTTCTCAATTTTCGGATACTGATGATTTCACTTCTCCTCCAAACTTGGCTCCTCAGCCCAATGTGTTGCCTTCCAACTACAGAGCCGAGGATGAGATTGGTGAGCTTGGTGAGCTAGAATCTGATGAAGCTTATAACTCTGACCAGAATAAGAATAGGGCAACAATGGCGGGTTTTGTGCTTGGGTCTGTTTGCTTGGTTGGATTGGCAGGTTTTGTGTACAACAAGAAGAAGTATAGCAAGTCAAAAGCGGATTATGAGTACGAATTGGCTAAGAGAGAGGATCTCTAGAGTCTAAACCTCTCGCCTTGGTTGGCTTCACCTACATACACTTCCCACATAGAGAAATATCCATAAATTATCTCTACTAAACGTCTGTTCTACAGCCGAATTCATAGTTGATCATCAAGTTTTGTAATTGAACATTTCTACTTCAAGTACGTTTACTACTTTGCTTAGACGCTCCTCAGATGTTGAGTGACTAGCTACTTGCATGTACTACGTACTATTATTCTATTATTGTAACGAACTATATATAATGAAACCTAATTACTAAGATGGTTCCTAATTTTTTCATTACAGTTAATGTGGTAACTAATGAGTACATATTAAATTTTCTTTTGTTAATATAGATTTATAACTTTAATGGTAAAGCATTTACCCCAACTTATGGAAAAAAAAACAAATTGAATGACACAAGAGGTCTTATAGACCTGCTCTCTGAAAAAGTCTTATTCACAGAACAATTCGAACCTCATCCTAAATCAACCAAAATTTCACACATGATTTGTAGGAGTTTGAGACCCTCTTGTCCCACATTGGTCAACAGTATTTTTTCACTAGCCTTTATATATGCTTATTCCTTTTTCTTAGTAGTTAGAACTTGGACCATTTGGAAATGGATTGAAGGCTTGGGTCTTATAGTTGTGTGGATTAGGCTTGATGATTATACTATAATATTAATATTAATTAATCAAGACAATGGCGCACTTGGGGCCAAGGAATTAAAATTAATCTGATCAATTAGTTTTAATTTCGAATTAAGTTTTTAATTAAATTAATTAAAAACGTTTTGATTATTAATAGACACAACTCTTTGGAAAGAGTTGTATCTTTTTGGAAAGAGCTGTATAGCTTCAGATACATCCAAAAGGTGTTTGAAGACGTATGAAAGAGCCTATATAATTGGAGTCCTCATTCCATCAATCATTATCTTTTTCTTCTCCTTTGTCTTCCGTAAAAAATTTCCAGAGAGTAAACACACAAAGCAATTCGCTAGAGTTCTATAATCCAGTGCGGGTTGTAGAATTGGGTAGTTGTATCCTGGTCGAGCAGACATTGTAAAACCACAAGCACACGAGTGGGACAGAAATACTGTTCGAAGGACATAGCGTTTGCGCTAACCTCTACCTTCAATTCATTCAAGTTAGTATCATTTTAATTTTTTTGTAATTATTGTATTATTGCATTCTGTATTGCAAGTATTTTTTTAATAATAAAGTATAAGTATTTCAGTTCTGTATTTATGTTATTTTATTGTTTCTAAATTATTCTCCAACATGATTGTCACATAGTAATGCGATATAATGATACCAATTTCATCTTAAGCATATAAATGTTACCAAATTAAGGTTAGTGATTAAGTTTTCATACAAAGCAATCAAATTATTGAATCAATCCGAAGGTTTCACATTAATTTTACCTTCATATTTTCGATAAGAGTTTAACTCTTGCTCTTTTTAAGAAAATAAAATACAATGAAAAAAAAAAAAAAACAAATGATATGACCAATAATCCAGAACAAGAGTAGCAAGAAAAGACCTCACAACTTAAAAAACTTGGAGTCACAAATGGCTTGGCTTCTTTCAATTAAAAAAAAAAGGGTTCATGTTGTGTACGACCCAATAAAATTGGAACATTTTGTTTTGGACCAAAAAAAAGACTAGGAGATTAGATGTATACACGTGTACAGTGCAGATAAGGCCAGAAGCCCAATTCTAATGTGATTAGAAAACGTCATCGTTTGGAGGCGGAACTTGGTCTGTTACGGTCATCTCCGTTTATTCTTATCGCATCTGTGCCCCCCGCTTTCCTCTGAATCTTTCTCTTCAACTTCTCAAATCGACTCTCTCTCTCGCAAAAGGTACTGAATTTGCGTTACTCTGTCTTTATTTTGCTTTATGTGAAATTACTTTGATCCGTTTATGTGTTATTTGCTTCAATTTATTGAATTCTTATGACAAATCTGAAAAATTGTGGTGCTTTGAGCTCCGATCTGTTTGAAGTTGCTGTCAATTGAATCACTCATTCAGTACACCGGTCTAGTTTTTGGATCTCTGTATACGAATAGGGATCGATTAATTATTATGTATAAATGTATGAATAGGGTAATCAGAGGGTCACAGATTAAATTTTGATGTGCCATTCATGGCTGAAATTTATGCAGATTTTCGCGAAGATTTGATTTTTGTTTGATTTTATTATGTTTTGTTTGATTTTTTGTTAATTGGGTTTTGGTCAGTTTCTTAATCAACTGTAGTATTTTCCAGAAATTATGGCATCCAGTAGGGGTCATGGTGGAATTCAGCAGTTGCTGGCTGCAGAGCAAGAAGCTCAGCATATCGTCAATGCTGCCCGAAGTGGTAATTTTTCGTTTAGTTTTACTTGGTCATGGGTCCATTGTGTATATCGATCGGTTAGCTGTTTGTTTCTACCACTGATTCAAGTACTTGATGTGCGAATCTCTGAATTTTCATTTTGCAAACGGAATTGTTTGCGGTGTTTATTAATTGGACTCTTGCCCAATTGTGTGAGAAGGTGGGTTCTTGATTTTAATTGGAGAGCAATTTATCTTTTTTCTAGTCTAACATATTGTGTTGTCAAGATATGCATTAAGATCGTTATTTTGGTATGAATTTGCAGTCTTAATATGCTCTTTGAAGGGTTTTTTTTTTTTTTTTTTTTGAATTTTATAGGTAAAGTAAATAAAATACCCGGCAACTGTAAATTTGATAGAAGGCACTCCAATAGCTCAATTGGAGAAAAACAAAAGCCTCGCTTATCCACTTGATGCTTAGTTGTGAAATCACCTAACCAGTTGGTGTTACAAAGTGGGGTTTTCTATAAAGTATTGAGTTTGAAGTGTTTTTCTTTGAAGCCTGATGCTTCAAGGGCTTAAATTTGAAAATCCCTAAATGTTACACAAAAAACGAGTTTTTTGAGTAGTTTTCTAATTGCTTTGCTGTCTGGCCTTCTGCTGTTAGCTAAAAATGCTAGACTGAAGCAAGCCAAAGATGAGGCCGAGAGGGAGATTGCTGAATACCGTGCCCATGTGGAGGCTGAGTTCCAGAAGAAAGTTCAAGCGGTATGTATATGTAGTTTTTGTTATCCTGAAGCTACCCTACACTTGTTACATACATGCTAATTATGCCCTTCCCCCCATGCTTTCATATGGCAACTAAGCAGAGCAGTGGAGATTCAGGGGCCAATGTGAAGCGTCTTGAATATGAAACTGCAGAAAAGATCAATCACCTCTCGACAGAGGGCTCAAGGATTTCGAATGATGTTGTGCAAATGCTTCTGAAGCAGGTGACGACAGTGAGAAACTAATGCTATTGGTGATACATTATAATTTCAAACTCTTTGCAAGCATTGTACTGTTGCTGCCTGATTCATCCTATTCCTTAGACTTGCGGTGCTGTGGTTGGTATCCTCGTATCGGTTGTGAAGTAAATTACGGAGCACTTTGCTCAGAAAATAAGCTGAATATATATCATTGTTGGTACTGGTCGTATCCTTTTTTAATCATTGGAATGAGGTTTTATTTGGCACAATCCTTGTAACACTTACTATTATTTTCGAGTGGAGTGCAATTTTAACAGTTGTTATGAAGGTTGGCTGCAAGTCTTCTTTAACAATTGTTCGTAACTTTGATTAGTAACCTGTACAACTGCATTATTCCTGGGCTTAAATATTCTCGTTTAAATTCTATTGTTGCTAAAACCTCTGATCCAACCCCTTGTATTTTTGTGATTCTCGAGGCATGCGACGCTGGGATTTAAAATTGTTCAAAAATTTTGTTTAGCGCAACTCAAGGCCTTCATGTGGTTAGCTCATCTCAGTTTGTAAAGAGAAATGAGTAATGCAGGACTAGATGGTTTGAATTGTACCGGGCTGATGGAGCCGGTGAATGGGAACTGTAAGGTTGCAAGGTTCCTGGGTAATCATATTCGTGGCAGGCCGGCCCTGAGAATTTGGTGGCCTTAGGTGATTCGACTTGGGGTCTTAGAGTGCACTAACGCTTTAGATTTTATAGATTATTATGTAGACAAAAATTTATCAAATACATGAAAAAATATATTTTTACATCAAATGCCTATAAAAATTAGGGAGCTTTAATGAAAAAGGCTTGGTCCAGCAAATATTTAACCAAAAACTATCCAAAAATGTTATTTAATCAAAAGGGCTCAAAGTTTAATAAAAAAATCATCCAAAACTATTGTCTACGGGTCAAACTTATAGACCCAACCCACTACAAATCTACACTTTCGTAAATATCCTTAAATGATTTGATATTATCTTGACTCTTCACCAACCTTAACTAGCATGAAACTACCATAATAACTCTCTGTCTTCCTATCAAATTGAATTCTTCCATTTCAAAAATAACCAAATCAAAGTTCAAATTAAAGTTGAAAAAGGAAGCATTCATCGAAACAAAGCCGCCGAAACAAGTTCAAAGAAATTTAATGGCAGAAACCAATGAAAAAGTGTCTGAAAAAAAAAAAAGAACCAAAACATAAAACTATTTCTGGATAACCCAAAACATAACACTGTTTCTGGACAAAAAAAATCAGATACAGTGTTTGTTTTTGTTTGTGCACAAACAAACACTGTATCTGGAAGGAAAAGAACCAAAATCCAGAAACAGTGACTTAAATTCCAGAAACAGTGACTTAGATTCCATAAACAGTGATTTAGTTCCAAAAAAACAATATTATGTTTTAACCTTTGACTGTTTATTTTCTTTCATGCATCAGTTGATTATATTTAAGAAATAGGGTGTTTATTTTGCTTTGAATCCAAATACAGTGAATTTCACTATTTCTTTTCTAACTTACATTTAAGAAATAATGTGGCTATTTCATTTGGATCCAGAAACAGTGACTTAGATTCTAGAAACAGTAACTTAAATTCCAAAAACAATGTTACTTAAAATCCAGAAACAATTTATTTTTATAGTCCAGAAACAGTGACCCGTCGTTATTATTGAATAGCATGCAAATCTCAAATTTATTTTCTGGAGAAACAAACGATGAACTCTACTAACGATGAAAATTTGAAAAATAGTACCCCGAATACACTATGAATAATAACGACGATCACATTTCAACGAAATAATACAAAATATAAATTAAATAGCATGAGGATCTATATTTTCGTTTCAAAGAAAAAGAAGAAGGTCTGTAAAACAACGATGAACTCCATTTATGACGAAAATTTGGAACTCAACCTAAAAAAGTTAGGGGTAAAATCGTAAATCATAATTTATTATAGTTGGGCCATTTTTAGTTGGACTACTTTAATATGGGACTTGTACTAATTATTAAACAAAACTTAAAACATGGTTTTTTATTAAAACTAAAATGTTTCAAGTCATTTTCATTAGTTTTTCTTAAAAATTAATATAAAAAATATATATAAACATTATTTAAATATGGATGAATTGCCGATTTAGTCTCTAAATTATTACTCGAGTGAAAATTAGATCCTTAAATTATTTTTTTGGAAAAATAAGTTCCTAAACTCAAGGTACATGACTTGCACATAACATATGTAATAGGGTAAAATCATCATTTTCTATGCCCATACTCTGGTGGTGTAGGTCTTTAAGGTAACCAGAACTCTTTTGGAGAGGAGAGACAACGCCGTTCATTCCTCTAGGTACGTTGCACTTTAAGACGATTTGGGAAGATTGAAAGAATCGGTTCAAACTTTTGCTCAAAAAATTCTCAAACATAGACAAATCTTTTACTGCCTATGCTTTTACTTGGGGGAAATTGTGCATTGGAAGGACAATATTAGTAGAGATTGTGTAACCATGTGGGACTTATGGGAGCTTGCAGGGTATCTTGGGTACAATAAAGAGACCACAAAGTTCTTTTATAAGAAAAGGAAGAAAGGATGGGTTCTTATTACTTGTGATGCAGATTACCTTCAATGTGAAAAATGTGTAACCAAAAGAAGCATAGACAAGCATCTATGCAAAATGCTATAACTGAGATCAATGTAGAATATGCTATTTTGATTGAGGGTTCACATGTTGCTCAAGAAGTTGGTTCCCTAGACCTTGAAGGAGAGTATGTTGCAGATGATTGAGTGTGATGAAGAGGATAATAGAGAAGAATATGTAGTTAATGGTGGCGTCTTGGTGGATGTTGCGATAGGAGTTGATGATGTTGGTGATGAAGCAGAAGAACCTAATGAAGAAGATGAGGATTTCAGGGACAGTTATTATGAGCAAAGTGAGGATGAAGATGACAATAAGTTTCAAAGATTTAATGTACCAGAAGATACCGAAGAGCAGTTCCTGATTTGCTTTGCTTGACTAAACTTGTTTTGTTATGTTATTGGCATGATGTTGAATTGGTGCCTTAGACTTTATTTTTGGATTGAAAATAGAGAAAACATGGTATGGAATTATTTTAATGAAATTTGTTGTTGAAGAGTTGAAATTATTTTCAGGAAATTTGCTTTGCGAGGGCCAAATCGAAAGCCCTTAATGTTTATATAAGATTCCCAGCTAAAAACAGTTGCAAATTAGGCTTTATAAATTTCAAAATTTGGCAAAATTTGAGCACGAAAAGTGAGGAGATGGATGCTTCTCCTAGTTGTGTTTTATGAGCGATGAAATGACGATTTTACCTTTCAAATTGTGTCATGTGCAAGTCACATGACCTAAATTAACCGAAAACTAAATGGAAAAGCTTGAAATCTAATGGTAAGGATGAAATTGGCTGTTTGTAATGAGTTTAGGGACTTATTTTGCTGAAAAAATAATTCAAAAACCTAATTGTCACTTGAGTAATAATTTAAAGACTAAATCGACAGTTCACTATTTAAATATTAAATTTGAAAGGCCAAAATAAAAATATAAATTCTTATTAGATTATGTTTCCTAATTGCATTTGAATATCTTTGTTGGGAGTCTTCTAGGCTATGGCGTGGCCTTTTTAGTTTAATACGAAATTAATTAAAAACAAAACACCATCTTCAAGTTTCAAACCGGGACGACAAGCAACCACTACGCCTTTACCACTACACCTGTATGCTTTCTGTGTCATCTATCTTACTTCATAGTATTTATAAGACAAACAAATAAAATAAAAAATTTTGGGGCCCCTGGTTTGTGGGATCTGGAATTCCATGGTGATGAAGGTTATCGAGCTGCAATCGCCAACGGGGAAGCCATTGGTTGCATGGTTCCTGGGAATCGACGTTCATGGGCACTGACGGAGCCACATTAAGGGCTACCCTAGGCTGTAGCTCAGGTAGCTTTTGGTAGAAAATAAAATTTTATGTCTAATTTTTATTGATTTTTGAATGTAGCCCATCATATATTTAGTCACTGATTTAAATTCTTTCGGTTTAATTATATAATACATTTTACAAATTATCGCTTCTTGTACATGTACAAGTTTAAATTTGTTTGAATAACAAAAGTTTTTGGCTCACTTTGTGAAAATTTTCTTAAGCTAGCTGATACTGTAAAAAAATAGTATCAAGTTTCTTTGTTGATAATGATTTAAATCTTTAAGCTAGCCCACCTGATGAAAAATTTCTAGCTCCACCATTGTTCATGGGGTCTGCATTACTCATGTATCAACTTGGCTTCATCCATAACCAAGTGTAAGAATTTTGGCGGAGGCGCTGTAGAAAGGCCAACCACTACCTTGGCAACGCCTTATTAGCCACCGGATAATATTGTTTAATACTAACTCGTTGTTTGGTGCCATTTCGTATTAAATTAGCACTGAATTATTTATGCAGCCTCGCCTATTTTATACAACTCACATTAGATTACTTATACATTCCAAATCCTCGGTATTATTAATCGAGTCGCTAGAAACAAAATCACTCTGGCTCTTTCTGCATCCCTCTCTCGCGGATTACTCCAGCGCCTAACCAAGCCGTCTTCTCAATCGGTATTCCTTCTACAATCTCTTTTTGGGGAAGTAGGTGAACATCTTTGTGTAGCGGCAACTTTTATTAATAGGAGGAAGAAGTACTGAAAAAAACAAGACAAAGATGAATTAAGTTTTTTTTTTTTTTTTTTAATAACTGAGAAGAGCTTTGATCAATGTTCTTTATTTTCTGTTCTCTTAAAAAGTATCTACACCTTTTTTTTTTTTGAATAAAAATTAATTTTTAATGCGATACTGCACCAAATACTAGACTAAAGAGTCAATACCATGAGTAAATAGTTAGTATTCCTGACTAAATAGTTAATACGTCCGGCTAAAAAGTTAGTACTATACGATTACATATTATTTTGTTCGACTGGGTAATCAGTATAGCCCAAGCTGACAACCGGGAGCTCTATTCTCTATCGTCAGTTGTCCTACTAAACAAGTGCTGTGATCTGGTGATCGTAGGCTTGGCCCAAATATTTCACCTCTTCCTTTCTTACTCACCTCAACGACAGCGCCGCATTCTCCTGTCCACCTTCCTCATCAGGACAGCTTCAAAGAAGTTCCAAATCAAAAGATTATTGTAAACGCCACTCAAGAATGATATGTCGAAGCCACTATGAATTATTGCGCCAACCATGCACTTGCATTTCTCAAAAATATAATTACGAAAATATTCATTCAATTAGTTGATCAGAGCAG